TGGCAATTAGGATTATGTCAAAAAAAAGCTATCGAAATTGCTAGAAAATATTTTTCAAATCTCTCTGACAGGCAGACAGTTTTGGATGACCGTTTAAATAATTGCCAGCTTAGACTTTATCTATCCTTAAAGGTATTTAGGATTTCTGTAATGATTATTAATTCCTACATTGTGGGATATGATCCTTGCTACATTAAAAATGCTATTTCAATCATCTCTGAGTTTGAATGGCCTTCCTGAGTTCAAGTTTCCCTCATGTCCTGCGCCATTCCTCTGCTGACAAAAGTAGCATTTGTCACAAATGGGGCAGGATTTTCGAATGCTTGTCCCGCCCACTGTTTTACAGGTTCAGGGAGTTTCCACAGCATTGCAAAAATCCAGCCCAAAGACTCTGAAATCTTCCATAACTCTTTTTTGCTCCATGCCTAGTATCATCTGGGCTTTAGAGACATTTCTGAAGTTCGTTAAAGGCCTTATTCTCTAAAAACTGTCAGTATATGATCACTGTATAATGATCAAAGTTCTCACTCTTATTCTATATTTTTAAGTGATTTTTTAAAAATTAGGCATTTCTGAAATATGTTTTCAGCTGCTTCTTGTTTGTTGCCAACTGTAGGTAACACAAGTACAAAAAAGATATTGCGTTGTGTTTATAGTAAGGGTTGGACCCAAGTTTGAACCTCTGAATAATTATCTGAACTGACTAGTAAAAGTACTGAAGCTTCTACATTTTAAACCATAATCAAACGTTAATTATTTCATGAGGTTCTAGAGACATTTTGGTCTCCATCAAAGGTTAGTCAAGAAATTGTTATCATGTGATCTGACATCATCAGAGTGGATGGTGGCATGCTCATTCTAACCTTTTCAAACTTGCTTATCCTACATCTCCCCCCAAGTCTTTGTCCTGCTTATTCTTTTACATATGCTTATGTTTGTATGTGCATTTTAACACTGTCCCAACTCCCCTACCTAAGTCTCTCATTTCACAAATTTAATCTGTCAGCAGGTTTCGTGACTCGCTATTATTGTGTTTTCATGAGAATTGAAAGATCTGTATTGTTTCTTAAACTATAGTTTCTTGTTTTTGACATTATTCATTGAGGCCTGTAGTATAGAGTTCTGTTCTTTAATTTAGAACTGTTTTATCCAAATAGGTGATCGTTTGTTGTCATTAAATATATTGGAATGAGATTTCTATTTTCTCTTATAGTACCTTCTGAGATAAGTTCCAGATAAAATCCCTGTTGATTTATATCTCTCTAGACAATTACCCCTTCTCTGTTTTGATCTCTAGACAATACTCTTTGATCTTTATTTGTAGATGCTTGCATGGCCTGGTTGGAAATTTGGACATTATTAGGGGTTCTGGTCAGTGTATTCACATCTTCCAAAATTATTTCTTCTATGTCCTTTGAAATTTCCAAGCACCACACTGATGATTGACTTTGATATCTGCATTTTGTTATGCTCATGTGGCCCTGATGTTTTTCTGCGACGTTTTTTGGAGTGAAACTGGAATTACTGGTCTCTTGGCATACACGAGTATGCCTTTCGCAATGGTAAAGTTTTCGGTATTTGAAGAACGTTTTTGTGACTGGAACCAGACATTTGATAAGGTGAAATCAAAGATTGTTGCAGAAAGCTAAAGGTCTTGGTGTAGGGGACAGCATATTGGAATGGATGGAAGAATAGGTGGCTAATAAGGAACATAGAGAAGGCATAAAGAGGCCTTTTTTTAGATTGGCACAATGTAATAAGTGGTGTGCCACAGAGATTAGTGCTGGAACATCAACTGTTTACAACTTATATAAATAACTTGGATGAAGGGAATGGAAGATAAGGTTGCCAAATTGGCACAAAGTTGGGTAGTCGTGAAGAGAACAAGAAGGCTATAAAAAGATGTAGGTTAGGTGACTGGACAAAGCAGTAGCAAATAAAGTAGGTTAATATGGAAGAATGTGAAATTGGCCATTTTGGCAGGAATAATTTAAGTAGAGGATATGCAAATGAAGAGAAATTGAGATGTAGAGGGATGTGGGTGTCTTTCTGCATGAATTGCAAAAAGTTAGTGTGCAGGTACAGCAAGTAATTAGGAAAGTAGTAGAATGTCGTTTATTGAAGGAAATCAATTGCAAAAATAGGGAGGTTATGGCCCAGTAATACATGTCTCTGATGAGACATCATTTGAAGTACTGTGAACAGTATTGGTTGCCTTATTTAAGAAAGGATGGACGGGTTATTTCATGAAGGAAAATTAGACAAACTAGGTTTGTATCACAGAGTTTAGAAGAATAGGAGGTAACTTGATGGAAGCATATAAGATCCTGAGCAGTCTTGACAACATAGATATAGAGAGGTTGTTTCCTCTTATTGGTGAACCTAGAATTGAGGTTCACTACTTAGCAATCAGATTCACCCATTTAAAACAGATGTGGGGAGATTTTATTTCCTCTCAGGGTTGAGATTCTTCATAACTCTCTTCCAGAAAAGGTGATGGAGGCAGGAATGGAATTTTTCTTCGTTACTGAGCTTCATTATGATTCTCAAATTTGTCATTCTTTTTACTGTTGGATCTTATTCCTCATGCAAAATGTTGTATACCCTTTGAAAGATTTACGTAACTTCTGAAAGATATTTTAGTTCCCCAAGCAGTCGTCTAAACTAAATAAAAACTGAAAGAACTGCAGATGCTATAAATCAGAGACAAAAATAGAAATTGCTGGAAAAGCTCAGCAGGTCTGGCAGCATCTGTGGAGAGAAATCACAGTCAACGTTTCGGATTGAGTGACCCTTCCTCAGAATTCTGCCAGACCCGCTGAGCTTTTCCAGCAATTTCTATTTTCGTCTAAGCAGTCTAAACTGTCATTTTTATGCCAGCAGTGTTCTGAACTGTCATCCTTGAGTTTCATTCTCCTGGTTCTGCCTCGTGGCTCAGTTGGATTTTACATTTTTAGAGGGCAACTTTTCAGCTTAAGTAATCACCACCATTTTTCAAGTTCAAGAATTTTTTAAAGCCCTTTTGAGTTTTCTCATCTAATCCTTGAACTCTGTCTCACCAGCTCAAATTTGAAATTATGACCTTTTTGTTAAATTAATTGTTTCTTCACGTCTGCTGTTGATTCTTCTTTTATGTAGGTTCTGTGAATTAATTTTTTAATTTGTCTCTCCACTATTGTTATCAGCATTCTTTAGCTGGCTCCACCATTGTTATCATGTTGTAAATGGCATCAAAAAAGGAAAAATCTTCAGATCCTTTCCTGCTTGCCATTTGGAAGGTTTGGACCTAAGGTCCTAAAGTTGGCCCCCTTAATAATTCATGCAATCTAACTAGTAAAGATGCTGAGCATTCTGCATTTTAGAAAGCATTACCATTACCTATTTACTTGAGGCATATCTGCTTCCATAAAAGACTAAGCAAAAAGTCCTTAACATTTGGTTTCTGACATGAGCCCAGTGGGTGATGTTACTTCGTTCTAACCATTTCAAACTTCCTTACACCACATTGTTATGTGATTAGTTAAGGGGTGATATGATGTATATTTAATATTGTGAAAGATAGGCATGATAGATAAAAGCAAATAGTTTCCAATAACTAATGGATTTAAATATCACCTCTACATCACAAGATTGTGGGTTCACAATCCAGAAATTTTATAGAATCACAGAATTGTTACAGTGCAGAAGAAGACTTCTAGCCCACTGTGTTAGCACCATTCTTCTGAGTATTTTGATTTAGTGCCAAACGTCTCCATTTTTCCTACCATCCTACACATTGTGTCTACTTAATAATGATCCAGTGTCCTCTTGAATGCCTCAGTTGACCCTGCCTCTACCATGCTTCCAGGCAGTGCATTCCAAACCTCAGCCACTTGTTGTGTGAAAATATTTTTGTCTTATCTTGCATTTATTGCTTTTTCAAAACACTTCTTTAAAACCATGCCCTCTGATTCTTGATCATTTTACAAGCAGGAAGTTTCTCCCTATCCACTCTATCCGTATCCCTGATGATTTTTGAAAATTTCTGTCAAATCTCCTTTTCGCCTTCTCCTGTCCAAAGAAAACAGTTCCAACTTCTCCAATCTGCCCTCATAACTAAATTTCTTGTCCCTGGAGCTATTCTTGTAACCCTCATCTGGCCTCTCTCCTGTGCAGTCATATAGTGCAGAACCCAGAACTGTACACTGTATTCCAGCTAAGGTCTAACCTGTGCCCTTTGTAGGTTCACATAACCTCCCCACTTTTGTGCTGTATGTCCTTATTAATGAAGTCTAGAATGTGGTATGTTCTTTTAACAGCTGTCTTTACTGATCCTGCCACCTTTAATAAATTATGCACATTGACTACAAAGATATTGCAAACATTCCATTGTTGTACTGAGAGCATGGTGAAATGTATGAGGGGCTGTCTTTCAACTGAGACATTAAACCAAGGCCAACTCTACCCTTTTGGATAGCAATTTTTCAAAAATGGGAAGTAGATTAATTCCAGTTGGTGCTCAAACTAATATGTCTCTTGACCGGCATCACTAAAGTATCTTGGCATTATCACATTGTTGTTTGTGGGCACTTGTTGTGTGGCAATTGGCAGTCATGTTTCATGCATAATAACTACACCACAAAAGTTTTGGGATGCCCTGAGATGTGAAAGATGCTACACTTGTACAAGTTTTTTCTGTAGAACAAAAATCAAGTACAAAATAAAACGTAAAAGATCTTAGCACAATAGCAAGATAAACATTTTTAAGAGATTCCTGCGACTGTGAAATTCATTGCTAGGGTTCAGGCAAAAACTGTCAAGGTTAAATTGGTTAGGTGGCTGAAGATTAAAAGATATGATGTAAACAGGTAATTGTGTTTCAGATTTTGTTCTCAACTGGTTGCTCAGCTTCTGAATGTTGTCTGTGTTTTTGATAAGTTTGAGGTTGAATATACTGTATCAATAAATCAAACAGCTGCATGTCAACTTAGCGAATGTTAAATTTATGTTTACCATTGTAGGTAATAAGTCCGATAAGAATGATGCCCGGGAGGTTCAATATGAAGAAGCCAAAACTCTTGCAGTTCATTATGATATGGCATCTGTACTAGAGACATCTGCCAAAGATTCCAGCAACGTGGAAGAAGCTTTTATAAAAATGGCCACAGAGCTAATGCTAAGACATGCTGGGCCAATGTTCACTGAAAAAGCTACCGAAAGTATCAAATTAAACAGCAAAGATGTCGGTGAAGGATGGGGATGTAGTTGTTGACTTTGCGGGTTAATTTTTTTAGGTTTTGCATCATCTCGTTTTAAGGTAGACTGATCAATCACAAATGTGATTTAAGTCACTTGGCTTGGACTAAGTTATGTTTGTGATGTGTTTGTGCACAGAATCTGTGCAAACTGTTGTGAACCGTATCCATTCCTCCAATTTGAAGATGATGACAGTCAAACCTGTTCTTGCTGGTCATTAAATCTTAACATTCCAGTTTCCTTGACATTCCAATAAGAATCGTAGTAGTCACATTGCCTTAACTACTGATATTGAAGAACGCAGTTTCTCTAACAACCCTTTTTCTTATTAAATTTATGGCTCTGAACTGAATATTTTGCGGAGAAGGTATGAACATTTAAAAAATGAAGGTGTAATAAAATTGAATTGGAGATGATACGTAGGACTGCCTTATTGATTAAAATTGGCTTGGTTAGCAGTCACGATGGGGAAGAGTGGAAGTTGTGAATAATTAGCTAGTTTTCTTCTGCATATTCATGGTTGCCTTACAAATTAAATACATGTATTCCAGCCACTTTTTTTTAATGTCACTGCATATTTTAGGAATCTTGGCAGTCCTGCGTATTACTCTTTAAATTCTTAAGTTCATACATTACTTTGAGGTATAAGAGTATTTGACTTACTTCAAGAGGTGATTTAAATTGAAACTTGAATCAAATGCATTTCTGTAGTTATTAATCTTGAAGCTGAATGTGCTGTTTTGCTTTGTGTAGTGGCCCACAACTGTCCCAGGATTTTGTTGCTCTTAAGACAATGATATAATTCTCACTGGTAATTGGTCAAAATGCTAACAGTTTAGAGAAGACATTGGTTAGCCTAGCAACAGATAATTACAACTCCGAGTCTGGGTGTTGTGTAATTTACAGCTAGGATCAATGCCAGCCTTATTATTGATTCGATGTACATAGCCTGTTTTGGTGAGAACAAAGCATCTGACAGCAAACAGTACTATTGTAGCATTTGCTTTGCAATTGCAAAATGCTGGCAGGGATAATGTATCCTAGAAAATGCATTGTGCACTTTACTTTTTTAAAAGAAAAAGCAGGGTCCAGAATAACAGCATAAACTGGTTATGAAGTTGTTTCTCAGCAATAGTGATTACTGGGGAGGTGAGAATAGACTGTATTACCGAACACACTCCCAAACCTAGCCTTGATTTCATTGAAACAAACAGCAGTACTTTCTGACAATACTTATTTCAGATCAACATTAACACTTCAATATTCAAACTAAAGAATGAAAAAAGCCAGAACATATTGGGCATTCTTATTTACAAGATGTAGAGTTGGATGTAGTTTATACAGTATTATTTTACGGAAGGGGACTAAAGAAAACTTCTGTGCTTCGGGTGAAATAATGAACAAGTGCATCTATTTTAATAACCAGGTAAAAAGGGTAGTGCCTACAGTATGTAAATATATATGGAAGACTTTTGCACATTTTGCTTCACTAAAATCTAGTGTATTAATTCCAGGTTGATTGTATATAGCCCCTTATCCCTCCTATTTTTGCTTAAGACTATGATTCAAAAGGGTGATAGTGCAATTAGTTAACAATGTCCTTTCAACTTCAGCTTAAACTAGTAGCACAATATCTCTTTCTGTTACAACTTTCTTTTATTCATTCATGGAATGAGGGGGTCAATGGCTGGGCTAGCATTTATTGGCCATCCGTTATGGATGTAGTGGTAATTCTCTTGAAAATGCCCAAGCCTATCTTGTAGCCTGCTCCTTGTTAGGGGTTAGAGAACAGACAAAATGGTTGTTTATGGAAAGTGAAAATGTGAATGCAATAAAGTTTGCTTTTCCAAAGTAGTGGTGGTTATATCTGGGCAGAGTCCTCCTTAGTAACATCTGGGGGCTACTGTAAAATTAGGAGAGCTGTCTCAAGCCTGATGCAGTAATACTTATGGAATCGCACTTTACGGAAAATGTCTCAGACATTAGCATCACTGTTCCTGGGTATGCCCTGTCCCACCTATCCACTCCTATCCTGGGTGTCCTCAACATTGATTGTGGAGCCCATGAAGTCTCACAACATCAGGTCAAACGTGGGCAAGGAAATATCCTGCTGATTACCATATGCAGACTGTCCTTAGCTGATGATTCAATACTCCTCTATGTTGTACACCACTTGTAGGACACACTGAAGGTAGCGAGGGTGCAGAATATACTCTGGGTAGGGACTTCAATGCTCACTTAATTAGGAGCGACTCACCAGCACAACTGCTTACTGAGCTGGTTAAGTCCTAAAGGCTATAGCTATTAGACTGGGCCTGTGGCAGCTGGTGAGGGAACTAACAAGAGGTAAAAGCATACATTTCCTCATCCTGAACAATCTCCCTGCCACAGATGCATCTATCCATTATAGTATCGGTAAGAATAACCACTGCATTTTCCTTGTGGAGACGAAGACCTGCCTTCACATTGATAATACCTTAAACCATGTTGTGCGGTTGAATGGGACAGACTTTGAACAAGCCACTCCATTCCTAACCTCGTTACAGTCTTGGTTCAAAGATAGAAAAAAGACCTGAGTGTCAATTGCTGCTTTGCAGCCCTAGCAAAACTGGAGTCTGTGCACATCAGGGTGAAATTTCTCCACTGGATGAAGTCACACCTGATACACAGGATTTATTGGAGGTCAGTCATCTCGGTTCCAGGATATCTCTGCAGGAGTTCTTCATGGTAGTGTCCTAGGCTCAAACATCTTCAGCTGCTTCATCAATGACCTTCCCTCCATCATGGGATCAGAAGTGGGAATGTTCACCAATAACAGCACAATATTTAGCACCATTTGTGACAACTCCAGACACAGAAGCAGTTTGTGTCCAACTGTGGCAAAACCTGAACAATATCCAAGCATGGGCTGAAAAGTGGCAATAACATTTGCATCACATAAATGCCAGGCAGTAACCATCTCCAACAGGAGAGAATTGAACCATTATCCCATGGCATTTGATGATGTTACCATTCCTCCAGTATCAACATCCTGGGGGGATTACCATTGGTCAAACACTGAACTGGACTAGCCGTATAAATATGGTAGCTACAAAAGCAAGTCACAGGTTAGGAATCCTGCAGTGGGTAACTCACCACCTTACTCCCCAAAGCCTGAGCACCATCAACAAGGCACAGGTCAGGAATGTAATGAACTACTCCCCACTTGCAGATGAATGCAGCTGCAACAACACTTAAGAAGCTGACACCATCCTGGGCAAAGCAGCTCGCTTGATTGTCCCCACATCCACAAATATCTACTTCCACCACCAATGTTCAGCACCAGCATCAGTGTACCATCTGCAAAATGTACTGCAGAAATTCACTAAGGATCCTTAAATACCACCTTCCAAACCCATGCCCGTTGCCATGTGGAAAGACAAGGGCAGCAGATAGATGGAACAACACCATGCAAGTTCCCCTACAAGCCACTCAACATCCTGGCTTGGAAATATATTGCCATTCCTTCACTGTTGATGGTGCAAAATGGCACGGGGGGGTGTACCTACACCAGATGAGCATGCGGTTCAAGAAGGCAGCAGCTCACTAGGGATGGGCATTAAATGCTGGCCAGTCAGCGATACCCACATCCCATAAGTGAATTAGAAAAAAAAGAATTACTTCATCTGGTTTGACCTGACATTGCTTCAAGGACTCATTGTAAGCCTGAAGAGGAGTGGGTAGCATTCCCTCCCCCACCACGTGTCTTAAGTTGGTTTTTAAAAAAAGTCACTTTTAACGGCTGAGACTTACTTGAATGTTACTGGTTAGTAGCTTGCTTCCATTGTTTCAAATACAGCAGTCAGATGCGTGATAAAAAGCAAATGATCTGGAGTTGTTCACCAGCATCAGGAGACAGTTGTTTATGGGTAAGTAGTTGGTGGAGGAACGATGATGTTTTACAGTCTCACACTTGGAGATGAAATCAGACATAAAAGGCCAAAGCTTTCCTTAATTGCCCTGTGGAGCACACTTGCACCTCCTAGCCAAACTAAAAAGTTCGTACATTTGTATCGCTGGCTTCCCAAAATGACAGCAGAGAGTTAAATTTCTATCTGGAGCTATGGTTTGCCAGAGTCCAGTGGGAGTCTCAATCATTGCCAAAATTGTTGGCATTAAAATGGAACTTTACTGGTAATAGATTGACTGACTCCCATTTTAACTGCTGTTCCACTCTTCTGTTGATTAGGGAAGAGTTAAAATTCCTCCTTGAATATGGAAAGTAGAGGAAAAAAGACATTCCTCAGTTGACACCTGCCAGCCCAATGGTCAAAAAATATATTCAGAAACTGCAAACAATCTCAGATGAATTTGTACTACATTGAATGGATATTGAATTTCTGGAGCATTTTAATAGGAAAACTAGAACAATTAAATGAAACTGCAGTCATGTTGCACTCAGGCTCCATTAAAGTCACGCTTTGGGAATCACTTGCATTTTGTGGTAGACTGGTACTGTCTGGACTTTGGATATATTTTTTGATACTTTTAAAAATTTAAATAAAAGAAATGCTAGTTAGTTAAGGTTTTCAATGCAAGTTAATGCACATTGATAATGCTAATGTACTCAATTATTTAGACTGTGATGTATAGATACATAAATTAAGTCATTAGTTCATTCAGATATCTTGTAAAAGATGTGCTTAGTTGCCAAATTGAGCTGATCGCCACTAATGACAACACAATAACATCCCACCTCAAAGAACTTGCGTTCTGGATACTTTGTTTATAGGCTATCACTTTCCTCATCCATACACCAGTACGTTGGTAATCCATCACTGTCATAATCAGTACGTTTTTTCCCCAGTGAATTCAAGTTTGTAAACTCTTAAGTTAAAGTTATTAAATGTGTGATGTTTTTGCGACCGATTTGTTAGAATGTATTCCAGGCAGTATTTTCAGTGTAGACTTCAGCAATACATATTTTGCTTATCTACTTTATATCTGCTTAAGTTTTTAATTTTCTCTATGTTGAACTGTCGTAATTTTCTATGTTGACTGTTTACTAATCATCGCATAGTTTTCTTTTAGAATGTTGAGATTTGTATACTATTCAGCATACATGGTTGTTGCTTTTAATTCTTTAACATGGATCAGTTAAAAACATTAAGCAACTTCAGTTCATAAATTTTCAGAATATATTCCTTTATGACTTATCCACGTGTCATGTTTTTTTAAACTGTTTACATTTTTTAACTGTGTATGAGTTAAATATTAAGATGGCATCAAGCAAACATACGAGCATTCTGTTCCATGAGTGTAACTCAAGTCTGGTGGAAAGCTGGTTCTTATACTATTAAAAATTCACACCGAATATTCCAATTCTGCACTTTATTACCCATGAACAAGAACATGGATGTAAGGGCTAAACGTATCATAATCAACCAGATGATAGGTATTCTTCTGTATCTACATTTTACAATTCTTCATAGTTTATTTTAGTGTGATAAAGGTTTGTATAAAATTTAAATTAGTTTTTAATCTGCTTACTTTTATAATTGTGATATTTTGGATAGTGTTCCTTTATCTGCCCTTGAGTTCAAGTTATTCCATGGGGTTCCTTCGCTAGGTTGCACAACATATTAGCTGAGCATACTATCTGATGTTTCAGAGACAGTTTATGCTGAATTAGCTTAATTCAACCTGGAGAAGGGTCAGAATGCTACAGTTGTTTTGCAACATCTCATAAGCAGATAGAGTGGAAAAGCAGCTGATTGGCATCCAGAAACCCATATCGGAAATGTGTATGCTGAAGTGAGTTTAGCAGTGATGTGCTCACAAGGTCTGCCAATATTTATCACCTGTGAATTACAGTCCGCAGGGGTGAGAGAAATGGCAATGCGAGTGGAGCTGTATTCTGGCGGTGTCAATGACATCGAGAAGAGAGAGTGGATAGAAAATTAGTAAGGAAAGGTTTTCAAAAACATTGTTCAAAGTACTTGTAAAAATAATTTATTTCAGGACTATGCAATAATTTCTGATGTCAGAACAATACTTTTAGTACATTGATATGTAAGGAAAGCTAACAAGATTTACAGTTCTAAAAGATTTTTAAAATTCTGTCTAAAATACACAGTTGGATAAAGTTGTAAGTTGCATTTTACACATTCTGTTCCAAGTGGTGATCAGGAATAAACTCAATTTATTGATAAAACTAAATCTTATCTCTCTTCTCTCCACAAGTTAACATGTCAGCTGATTTTGCATATACTTATTTTTCACAATATGCCTGAGTAACAGAAACATCAACAGCTAACTGATCCTCTACTGGAGGTATCAAATAACAGGCTTTAATAAATATGAAATTCCATGATTTGAATGGGTAATGAGTTTGCACTGCCTCATAGCGAACCATAAGAACCTATAAATTCTGAAACTTGAACATGTTTAGAGAATTGATATTACTTGAGAGAGGGCAGTGAAGGATGAGACTGTGTTGCCCAGCCAGATCACTTGAAGCAGGTGTATTCTTTTTTCCCCCTCTGCTTAATATCCATTTTATCTGGCTGTTCCTTATTGTGTATTGCTTACTCGTGGAAAAAAATAGAATGAATAATTTGGTATAACTAGATCAATAGATTTCTGAATCCAGTAAAGATTCATATGAAGTCTGTTATTATAAAATATCTTGGAAGTGAAAAATAAATCATGGGCATTTAGTATCTCCGTGTTGTTTTGTGTGTCAGTCTTGGACAATAATTCTCAACATTTTGTTAATACAGGAGTAAGCCTGTGTGCTGAAGGCTGGGGAAGCCCTCCTGATTGGGCACCTGCCACAAACGAAATATGCATTTCCTGTCCTTATTACCACAGTCCTTGTTGCAGTAACTGAAAAGCGACCAACTGCTGATGGTGCAAGTCACACTGCAAACAGTTAATTGCCCGAGGAATGTTAGATGTAGTCAGGGTTTCTGATTAGTTGGGAAGTGGTTGCCCCAACTTTCCAGCTGGCGTTTGAGGCTGCTATGACGCTTTAAAATCCCACTCATTATCACCCGCAGTTTCCCTCACAGTCTTGGCTGGCAATATATTGTTATTCCTTTACTATTGCTGGATACTTTCTGGAACTCGTCTCCCGAACAGCATTACATGCACCTACAACGTAACAACTGCATAAGTTCAAGGCATTTATATTTAGTTTCAGAAAGTTTCCACCAGTTTCTTGAGCAATTGAGGACAAGACATAAATGTTGGGCTTGCCAGTGATATCCACAACCCACAATTTTTATTTAAGATTCCAGAGTCATAGAGCATGGAAACAGACCCTTCGGTCCAACTCGTCCATGACCAAATTTCCCAACTTAACTAGTATGATTTGCCTGCGTTTTGCCCATATTCCTCTAACCTTTCCTATTCATGTACCTGTCCAAATGTCTTTTGTCATTACTGTACCTACATCTATCACTTCCTCTGGCAGTTCATTCCTTATATGAACCACCCTCAGTGTGAAAGTTGCCTGTTAGGTCCCTTTTAAATCTTTCTTCTCTCACTTTAAAAATATTGCCTCTAGTTTTGAACTCCCCTACCCTAGGGAAAAGACCTCTGCTATTCACCTTATTTATGCCCCTCATGATTTTATAAACCTCGATAAAGTCATTCAACCTCCTACGTTCCAGTGAGAAAAGCCCCAGCCTATCCAGCCTCCTTATAACTCAAACCCTCCAATTCCAGCAACATCCTTGTAAATCTTTTCTAAACCTGCTCCAATTTAATAATATGAAGACAGTAAGGTTGTAAACTAACCTGGCATCATTGACTTTGTAGTTACACTGTTACACAAAATAAAAGCCCCCCCCCCCCCCTCTAAATTTATGAACAAGCAAACAGCACATTTCAAATTTTATTATATAAAATGTTTGAAATCATACAAATGTATTTAAATGATTTGGAAAATATAAGGGTCGGCATTGATTTTCTACATCAATTACAATAGGTTATTCAATGGTATGAGTGTGAAAATGTGAAAAACGCTCTTCATTATCTGTGGATCTATGAACTGCCCAAGTCGACCCCAGACTCCTTTCTTACCCCCTGCATTGTCTTGTCTAGTCCGCCTTGCTAAGTGTTGCACAGTCCTTTGTAGTCTCTATACATTTGGGTTATTGGGAAGTCGGTGCTCCTATCCCTTGCAGATAATGAGGGCTGAGTGTACAGTACATCACAAAAATTAGTTTATAAAATCAAAAATGCTATGCATTACAGCCTTGAACAAATACCAGGATACTTTAATACATTTTCAAACTAGTTTTGTACAGATTATCTCTTGTTACTTCTATATTTTTTAAAGAAATCCCTTTTTAGCTTTATTGGAAGTATTTGAAAAAAGTCAGATGTTAGACCAGTTCACTTTTTTTAAAGGTAATGTTAACGTAAGATTCTGCAGCAAACTCGCACATTTTTAATCAGATGATTTCTCAAACTTGATACTTATGAATCAACAAACGAGTTACCAAATTTCAATGATTACAAAGTTACTAGTATTATTTAAAAACATGGCTCCAAAACAAACAATGAAATTCAGTTAAACACAGATTGCTGGAGAAATTCAGCAAACCTGACAGCATCTGTGGAGAGAAAAACAAAGTTAATGTTTCGAGTCCAGTAAGATGATTCTGTTTCTATCTCCACAGATGCTGCCAAATTTGCTGATTTTCTTCAGCATTTTCTGCATTTGTTTCAGATTTTCAACATTGGCAGTATTTTGTTACTTCTAGAAATCCAATGATCTGAAACATGCTACTGGTAGATAATAGTTTTCCTGATGCAAGTCATCTAGATGCATTGGTCAATGGAATAAGACAAACTTAAAAGGTCAGTGCTGGAAAAGCTCAGCAGGTCTGGCAGCATCTGTGAAGGAAAAGACAGAGTTAATGTTTTGGATCTGGTAAACGTTAACTGTTTTCTCCTTCACAAATGCTGCCAGACCTGCTGAGCTTTTCCAGCAACTTTGTTTTTGTTCCTGATTTACATCATCCACAGTTCTTTCAGTTTTTAAAAGGTCAGTCGTCTGCTAACTCAACAAATCCTTTTAGAAGGTCAAATTGTTACTGTCAAAGACTTCCTTGGGTAAGTTATGACAAAAAGTAATCAAAGCAATGTGAAGAATAAAGCTTAACCTTGAATGTTTATTTGCAGTCCTGTTTTTTGTGATCTGACGTAGAGAAGGTTGGGAATGGGGGAGTGCAGAAGAAGATGAAAAGCACTGATATTTCCTTTTAAAAGAGGTTTAATGGGCATTGGGAACTAATGCATCCTACAAGTAGTTGCACGGATACAGAAAAAGCAATCTATTGTTTGCTAGAGCACACCAGTAGTAAAATAGGAAGACCAACTGCAATAAACTCAATTCCAATAGCTCTTAAATCACTAAATGTCATCCTTTCAAGGCTTGACAACCCACATCAGAATTTTTCCCCCTAGACTAAACTGCACACAGAAAGGACAGACTACTGATTTCTAATTTTGTTTTGATTTCTCTGACTTCACAAAATCCTAGTCTGGCTTCAACTAACATTACTTAAATCTATGAAAGTTTTTGTTTAACCTACATTACAAAAATGACTATACTTCAAAAATACTTAATTGATGTGCACAATATTTGGGATGGATTGAATTTTGTAAAAGATACCTTATAATTGAAAGCCTCTTAGTCTGCACATGGATTATTATACTTTTAAAGTAGAAACACAGGATCCTTTGGACGTTCTGCCAAATGACCATGTGAAAATTTAACTCCGGGTTTTAACTCCTGTGTAAATCAAAAATGTGTATCAAATCAGTTTTTTTCATAGTCAGGTTTATTTTAAATTTATTGAAATCTTGTTGCATGTTCAAAACATATTAATCTGTGAGGATTAACAAACAGAAAAAGCTGGAGAAACTCAATAGGTCTAGCAGTATGTGTGGAGAGAGAGAAATAAGTTAATGTTTTGAGACCGATATGACTTGTTCAGAATCAAATTTGTTTCAGATTTCCTTCATCCACAATTATTTTGTTTTCAATGCAGGATTAAATATTGTAGCTTTTTCACAAATTTTGTGTGCTTAAAATCAGGGTTTTCTGAGGAATAGAATCAACAGCGTATTATTGTAGAGCCTCAACAACACACCATAATTAGCCATAATTTGATAAGGACCCTTTACTGCATGAGTGGCATTTTTCTGACTTACAGGAATCATCTTTGGACCTCAGCCATTTTACCAATATCAAGTTTAAAGCCGGATATGTAAAGCAGGGGCTGAGTTGAGCCTACCAGATCAGATTTCACATAGCAACTCCTCAGTGTGGACTGAATTTGAGTCGAAGTTGCTGGGGTCCAAAAGGAGTCTAACCCAATCTACCATCCATTAAAGTAATGTAAACAATCAAATACTGAATTATTTGATCCTGATGGTGCAAAAACCCAATCCCAACCTATCATACACATCATACAAAAATGAATATACAGAAACTTTAGAATATGCGGAAGCTTGCACAGTTTGTAAAATTCACTTCTTCTCCCCAAAAGTGTACAATTAATAGCCACATAGTACGCTTGCTGTCCAAGTTTGACAAAGATCTTACAGTTTGGAATCAGCAGGGGAGGTCATGTAAATACTTTAAATGGAGGCGCGACCTCTCCAACATTTTACATTTTATTTCGAAAATGGCCTTTGCAGATAAGTCACCACTGCAGTTGTTTAGTGGAATGGGGATTTGGATGAGAAACTCTAACTGCTGCTGCAAGCAGGCAGTCACGGAGGGCCCCTAACTCTTCCTAGAGTCTGACACGAGTGGCCATCTCCAAGCAGCTGATATGTTCCCTTTTACCTTCAGCAACATTGAGGCCTTCTGGAAGCCTGCTGTTCACCCACCCTGCCTATAAGAAGATGGACCGGGAGAGGAATGAGCCATCGCATACAAACCAACAGCACTACTTCTAACACCCGCCCGCCTGCATTCCCACTCAAAGGCAGGCTGAAAGTCAAGTCCTCTAATGTCCTGCTTGCTTTGTACTATGTCAGTCAAGTAGCCTCTGCACAGTATGTTTAGAACAGAACACCAAGCATCACTGGCCAGCTTTGTTTTTTTTGAGGAATTGGAATTGTGAAGGCAATTGTGCTTTAGAAGGTAAACAGGAACAGAACTGTGGTTAGTATCACAGTCTGGGACACTAGTTTCACTGTAACTAAGACAAGAAAAACAGTGAAAGTCTCAGCCTCCTCATTGTTGCCAAGCTTGTAGACAATTGGCAGTAAACAATTCTGCACAGGCACAATATCCATCTTTCATTTGTAAACTAAGTGCACAGTTTTTTTTTGTCTTGGCAAACAAAGGAGAAGAAGTGCTTAAACAGCAATGAAGCATTACAAAGAAATTACAGGGGTAAGCAGAATTTTTATAATCCAAAATATTTAAAACCAAACATTGCAGATGAATGATATGCTTTTTCTAAACCTAGTTTCTGACAACAGAATGTTGAAAATGACATATGACTCACTATATTTTCAAATTCAGCTTATTTATTGTCATGTCAATGTTCACAAGCAGTCAGAAAAGATAAAGCTGAAAATTTTTAGTCGTGTCTAAGAGACTCGACTGGGGAGATAAATTAACAGAACATTTAACACTCCTAAAATAAAGTCCATCTTCTCACTTCCACACTGTTGTAACATCTGCTTTGTAAAAGTTTCAGAACACAAAGGGCTGGCCAGACTGGATTCAGAGATGATGTTTCCCCTGGTTGGGAGCTCTAGATCAAACAGTTATGGGGTTTCAGGATACAGAACAAGACTGAGAGGAGTGGAAATTTCTTCACTCAGATAAACTGTGGAATTCCTCTTCTACAGAAGGCTGTGGAGGCCAAATCACCAAATATATTTAAGAAAGAAATATAAAAAGCTCTGGAGACTTAAAGTGTCAGGTGGTATGGGGAGAGAGTCACAGTATGGCTTTGAGATAGAAGATCCAAGTCATGTTCAGGTTGAATGATGGAGTGGCTTAATGGGTCAAATAGCCTACTGATACTCCTACTTATCTTTTATGTTTCATATAAAGTTACTAACAAAATAGACCACACTTTTATAATAGAATAGTTAAAATTAATTTGTAAAATCCTATTTGTATTACCTAACCGTTAGTAGAGAAAAGTAGAAAACTTTATATTATAGACACCAAACTAGGTTTGCTCTACTGGTTTTATATATATGCATCTTACATTCTAAATCTTCACCTGGATGTGTTGAATGATTCAGATTTGAGGGGGGAGATTTTATGACTATCAGCTGAAGTATTTATACATTCAGCTCAACAATACTGAAGCAACATTGCTAAATCAGTAACATTTTCATTACATTGGTTTGAAAATACAGCTCTCACTCTTGTCTCAAGGATAAGTTTGAGTTTAATAAAAGTTCCAACAAATTATTGATAGTTCTGTCTACTTTGCAATCAATAACTGTAGCAGATCAAACTAAATTCCATGCACTTTGATATTTTGCACAATGTAGAAACCTGCAGCCACAGTTCGTTTACCAATATGATGGAATAGAAGTACAAATTTGTGTTTAGATGGAGCAGGGGTGAAGAGAAAATAAACCATGTATCTGAGATTGGCTGAAATTCTTACAAATAATAAAAAATTATTGTACACTTTCTTAAAAGTAATGGGATCAGCACTTGTACAAGTCACACATCTAAGAACCTGGTCACACTGAATGGGCATTAGAAAAAAGTTAACAGTTTGCCCCAATATTTCCAAACTGAGACTTATGTTCGGTGGGGTCATTGATAAATACAGTAGTACACAGTATAGAAGACAATTGGGTGTCTGTTTGAACTGAACTTGGCAACTTGTTTTTATAATTATTTTTTAAAATCCACCTTTTCCTAGGTTCAGTTGTAAGCTTGGCATACAAGTAGAGACTTGCTATCTTTAAAAAGGTTATTTTGGCAAATATCTTTCCAGGTCATAGATCAGTTCCACAGCAGCATCAATATCTGGCACAATATAGTCTGGATCAGATAAATCAGCATCAAACCTAAAGTCCCTGTGCCCATGAAATACAGTCCCTGTGCGAAGTTCCTCTTGGCTGACTAAAGCACGTTTAGAGGGACTGTACACACCTGTGCAAACCAGCACAGACTTACAGCAAGTAGCAGAACCTGGTGTCAGTTCGCTTGCTATTATATCAGGATCCTCTTCCTGGGAAACTGCAGCTGTTTGTTTTCCCGCAGCAACTTTAGCTTGTAACCGTAATCCTTTCCTAGAAGATTCCTGTTCAAGGTAGCGGTTGTATAGATTAGCACCGTAGATGTCAGTCATTGGATTATCCCTAAAAAAAAAAATTAGTTAACACTTTCAGTGCAGTCCATAAGTTAGGGATCAGCAAGATAATATTAAGACAAATTATAGAGTTTTTAATTTCTGCTGACCCCCAGCATTTTCCTTGCATTGGTGAAATCCTGCATTTTCTGCAATTTCTTTAGCACTCTTCTGATGACTAGTTTAATGCCACTTCCTATTCCTCGCTCACAAGGATTCAGAGTTCACCAAGGACAAGTCTGTTCTTAATTATCTGGAATTTATACGAAATTTGTAATCAGCAATATTTATCTATCCTGAGATCATTTGACTTTCATACCTTGTTCCTTTCTCCATCTCCAAATGTGGCATTAAATGTTCATTTGGATACTGTGGTTCTTTAACCTGGGAATAGCTTTAGTAAAAGTACAAGGACTTAAAGTTGGTTATTTACCCTGGCTTCCATATCAAGGCTCCCTTGACAGCACCTTCCAACTTATGAGCACTACTGTTTAAAAGGTCAAGGGCAGCAAATCAATAGGAACACCACCAACTGCAATTTCCTCCCCAATCCACTCATCACCTTAATTTGGAAATATATCACTGCTCCTTCAGTCTGACTGAGTCAAAAATCCTGGAACTTCCTCCCCAGTAGCATTATGGGTCTACCTACACCAAAATGGACTGCAGTGATTCAAGAAGGCAGCTCACCAGCACCTTCTCAAAGGCATCCAAGGATGGGCAATAAATGTTGACCCAGCCAGTAACACACACATCCCGTGAACAAATTTGTTTAAAAATGGCATACGTTACTCAACTGGCATGAGTAGAATATACAAGAAATGAGGGCAGAAAAATAGCTGTAAACCTAAAATCAAGTCAGGGTTGTGCTCCCCTACTTCCCTCAACTTCCTGTCGCAAAATGAGAAATTTTACATCCAGTGGATTGCAAGGAGTTGTGATTTGATCAAACATATATAAAGGATTGCGATAGTATAGATATCAGAATTCAAGATATTTTAAAAAGGAAAACATTTAGCAAAGCTAGCTTTCCTCAGCCTCTAGAAACTTGAGTCAACTTGTGGTTTCCTCCAAAGTGTAACCACTTACCCAATGGCATAAAGTGTGTGAATAGGTTTCCGCCATCCTCTTCCAGCAGCTTGAGCCCTTATGAGACACTCTGCGTAATGATAGGTTATTTCATTTGGTTTTCCTACTAACAGCTCATATTTAAGATCTTTGCCAGTGATTTTCTTGTAAATGTTTTCAAGACACAGTACAAATATTCCATGACCGAACCTGTTAGGCCAGAGGGGGAAAAGTCAAAAATCACACATTAGAAATTGCTTTCTCTTCCAATTGCTGACTGGCTTGTCAACTGTGAGTCCCACTTCTGTCCCGTGAGAAATTTGCATCACTTGGTCACCCTGTTGCGGAAGGGGGAAGAAACAAATAAAAAACAACATTCTTGCAGCAACTTTAAAGTTGCAAAGCATCTTGAGCTACTTCACAGGAACATCAGCAAACAAAACAGGACAAAGAAAAAGTCACTCAAGGTAAGCCATATTAGAACTAAATGTTTGGTCAAACAGGCAGCTTTTAAGTGATGTCTTAATAAGGGGAAGGAGATAAAGGGGCCAATTTTTACCACAGGAACAGACCATTCAACCCATCTCACCCACACTGAATTTTGGCCCCTTGGGGATACTGTACAGTGCCACTTTGCTAATTTCAGCCCTTTTCATTCACATTGTTGTTATTCGTCAGGGTGCAGGTGGCTTGTTAAATTAAAACAGTGATGGGAAAGATTGGTACCCAATCCAGATGCACTTAATCAGACATCAATTAACCAACTCAATGCCTCAAATTGACCATCCAATGCCTAAAAAACATGGTCTGGGCATGAGCATGTGATCATGCCAATGATAGCATGGTGCCCTAATTTGTGGGTATCTCCTTTCTCCATCTCAATGGTTCTCCCTGTGGTCAGTTCTCCCCATTTCTAACCCCTTTGCAGTGCAATAGCCATAATCCTCCATTTCCTGAAGCCAGATTTATTTTTTCTGTATAGAATCAGCTGATTCAGGATTTACAATGCTCATCATCCATTCAAGAACTGGTACCTTGATTATAGGGATGCTGCATTTACCTTGTAAATATAACTCCGAACTCTCCTTAACCCCCCTCTCACCTTTAGAGCTCTCCAAATTCTATATAAAACATCCATGTAGAGCAAGAAACAGAGGAGAAAAACACAACATCTTGTTCATGACCTTAAGTACACTTCTATCTCCTTCTACTGTTTCAACTCACTGATAGATTTCCCATAATAATAACTACCATAAAGAAATGAAATGTTTCATCATGCTGTTTGCCCTTCAGAGCTTTTCCACTGCCATCAAATACTTTGTACTTCTTTGTCATCTCCTCCTCAGGCAACTCTTAAAACCTATCATGTGAAAAATGAACCTAATGACAGGTAACACTTAAATCAACACTCCGCAAACTCTGTGCAATAGCTATTGTAAGCAATGTTCCATTGTGTGTTACAAAGTTGTAATTCACAACAAAGGCATACTTGGCAATATGGGGCTGAAACAAGGGTTAGAGAAAAATCTGTATTAGGAGCCTCCAACATGCAGCTGGTCATAGGATTTGACACTGTCTGATGTCTACTTCACTGGTAGATGGATTTACATCATTCATAGGGTCCTCAATCAACGATTACATAACCTTCAATGAGAAGGTTCACAGATCTGGAAAATAAAATGGTGCACAGAGAAATTCTATTACTTTTCAAATTATTTTTGTTTTATTTATGCTTTATTTGAAGCAGAGGGTGTGAGGAGCTGCTTGGATGATAAGCCCTTTCTCTCACGTGTATGCTGCTGCAGGTTTACCATCAGTGTATGTGGGAAAGAACCAGTCTGTGATTGGAGGATCAGTGAACAGCTCCCAGTCTGAAGCTGTGGCAGTGAGTCTGAGGGCCAGGTCTGGGAAAAGGTGGTAAAACTGTACTCTGGCATGTGGGTGTGTGGGGGGGTGGGGCGGCAGCGGCAGCACGGGGGGATGTGGGGAAGTGGAGGACATTAGAGTTGTAACTTGAGTCTGAAGGTGGGGTTTCCTGGTGGAAACTTGTGGAATGCAAAGGCCCATGGATTATTTTCTTGAAATTAAAGGGGGCAAAAAAGACAATAGGAAGGGTGGAGAGAGGTGGAGAGGTACAGAGAGGGGGCAGGGGGAGAAAGAGAGAGAAAGCAGTGAAAGAGAACAAGAGAAAAGTATTTTTTTTCTATTCATTTGTGGGATATGGGCGTCACAGGCTGGCCAGCATTTATTGCCCGACCCTAGTTGCCTTTGAGAAGGTGGTGGTGAGATGCTTTCTTGAACCGCTGCAGTCCACCTGCTGTGGGTTGATGCACAATGCCATTAGGGAGAGAATTCCAGGATAAGATTGTGGGAGCGGAAGCAAACGAAAGGAGGCTGTAAGAACAGGAAACCCCAGGCTGAAAGTCAAGTCAAGCAGAGAACCACTTTGTGAATTCTGTGGACCAGCTTGGAATGAGCCCCACCTGAGGCAGCCCAAGGTTAGCATTAGTTACATCTATGTCCTTAGCTTGGCTCCACTTGCCACCCCCTTCGCCTGTGATCCAGAATTGGGCTTTGATTCTTTTGCTGTCTCTAACTTGGCTTGTCAAACAAAAACGCAAAAATTGGCTTCGTTGAGATTGGTTGGCTCGCCGAGCTGGTTTGTTGTTCTGTTTGTTGTTTGTTGCCACACTTCTGGTTTTCCTTCGTAGTGGAGTGTATAAGGGGTCGAGTTCTATGTATTTATTAATGGCTTTCTTCGTGGAGTGCCAGCCTTCTAGGAATTCCCATGCCTGTCTCTGCTTAGCTTGTCCCAGGATTTTGGGGTTGTCTCAGTCGAAAATCAGAAGTGAGGCAATCCAGCTCAACAGACTCCAGAGTTTAAAAACCAGGCAGGACAACACACCAACGCTTCATCGGAGGCTGCACTGATGATGTTACCAAGCATGGTAACGAAACGTCTGCGGAACAACAAACTAGCTTAGCAAGCCAACCAACCTCAACACCCACAACCCGAGCTACAAATCTACTCCAAAACCTTAGAGACCTACGGGCGTAACATGCTCAAATTGGCACGAAAATGGGAAAACTACGCCAAATGAGAGAGTACAACCCGTGAACCACTCTACTTCCTACATGGATACCTCAGGAACCAGATCTTACCACGCAGTGTGAGATACAAACCACCCATCAACAAACTACAAGCCCACAGAACAGCAGAACAAAACAGCATCAAGATGGTAAGGGTAATGATAAATGACACACACAACCGGCTTCACAGATACAACAGAGAAATTACGTGCCAAAAAAACTTTATTCCTGAAAGCTACCAATCAAGACTGGACAACTGACATGGAACGAGCCATTAACATCAGCCAACAGACCACAAGAGCCAAGAAAAGACAGATCCTTCAAGACAAGCTAGCCACACTTCCCCACAAAAACGACAACAATAGAACAGTCACCTGGATAAGAAACGTCTCCGACAGGAAACTGACAGACACAGAAAAAGCCGTTCTCACCCGAGGACTGAACTACAACTACAGGGACGCCAACAAAACGGAATTCCTAGCTACACTGGAAGCCACGCTAAGGACCAACAATATCAATGAAGAAGCACAACAACAAACGATAAGACAGACAGTAATCCCAACACTAACCAGAAGGAGCGAACTCAACACCCTCAACACATTGGAAAGACAGGCCCTGGAAGGACTGAAGAAGGACAAGAACATCACAATACTACCCGCAGACAAAGGGCACGTGACAGTGATAATGAATAAAAGGGGCTACATCTCCAAGGCACAGGCACTGCTCGCCGACGAAAACACATACCGGCCAGTACAGACTGACCCGACACTGCAACTAGGCAACAAAATCCTCTACACGCTAAAAAGACTTAAACAGACAGGACAGATCAACAAAGCAGACTTCTTAAGGATGAAACCCGAAGGAACCAACACACCCCGATTCTACAGCCTCCCGAAAGTGCACAAGCCAGAAGTACCCCTCAGACCCGTAGTCTCCCTACCAGGCATTCCATTGCACAGATTAGCCAAAGAACTACAAAGAAGACTCAGGCACCTAGTCAACAAGTCACCCCACTCCATCCACTCAGCCCAAGAATTCCTCAACTCCATCAAAGACATAAGGATAGACAATGAGGAGACCATGATATCGTTTGATGTCACTGCCCTATTCACATCAATAGACATACTACTAGCAAGGGAAACAAATGACAGCCCTACTGGAACAAGAGCAAGACCCCAGTGAAACCATCATGCTCAAACTACTGGACCTATGCCTCACCACCCACTTCACTTTCAATGGCCAAACATATGAACAAATCAACAGGACACCCATGGGATCACCTATCTCCGGACTCGTAGCAGATGCAGTGATGCAAAGACTAGAAAGGACGGCCCTTCCACTAATCCAACCAAAACTATAGATACGCTACGTGGATGACACCTTTGTCATCATTAAACAGACCAAACTAGAGGAGACACACAAACTTATAAACAACACCCTCACCGGAATAAGATTCACCAGAGAGGAGGAGAAGAACAAACAGCTTCCATTCCTGGACGTCATGGTACAGCACAACACAAATGGAGAACTCAAAACGAAAGTACACAGAAGAGCCACACACACGGACCAGGTACTGAACTTCAACAATAACCATCCCAGCACACACAAACGAAGCTGCGTGCGAACACTATTTAAATGGGCCAAAACACACTGCAGCAACACAGAACTACGCCAAGAGGAAGAAGAATACCTCTTCCAGGTTTTCAAGGATAATGGATATCCAAAAAACTGGGTCAGAAGATGCCTACACGAACAACATCAGGAAGAAATTGCACGCCCCGACACACTCATCACACTACCCTACATCAGAACTAACCACTAGACTCCTACGACCGCTGGGCATCAGAGTGGCACACAAGCCCATATCAACCCTACAACAACTGCTCACCCGAACTAAAGACCCACTCCCCGCCATGGACAGGACCAATGTCATCTATAAGATCCCCTGCAGAGACTGTGAGAAACACTACATCGGACAAACAGGAAGGAAACTAACAACAAGGGTACGCGAACACCAACTGGCTACAAAAAGACACGACCAATACTGACTCATCTCAATCCACATGGATAAGGAGAACCACCAGTTCGACTGGGACAACACCAAAATCCTGGGACAAGCAAAGCAGAGACAGGCACAGGAATTCCTAGAAGCCTGGCACTCCACAAAGAAAGCCATTAATAAACACATAGAACTCGACCCCATATACACTCCACTACAAAGGAAAACCAGAAGTGAGGCAATCCAGCTCAAGGGACTCCAGAGTTTAAAAACCAGGCGGGAAAACAAACCGACACTTCATCGGAGGCTGCACTGAGGATGTTACCCAGCATGGTAATGAAACGTCTGCAAAACAACAAACTAGCTCAGCGAGCTAACCAACCTCAACACCCACAATCCGAGCTACAAATCTACTCCAAAACCTTAATGGCTTTGTTATTAAGCTTTGCTGCCTGGCACTTTTTAATGGTCATTTTCACGGATGACTCATTTAAATGACCAATTTATTGCATCTGAATGTTTGTTTAAATTCAAAGTTACCATTATTAACCTGTGTCTCTGTGAAATTTGCTCACTGCCCCCTGCCCACCCCACAAGGAAGAGAAGAAATAAAATGTTGGCCATTCCATGCAAAAAGTTTGACCATCCTATCTATTACGCGGCAGAATCATTCTGTAGTCTGCTTTTCAGGTCATGGCTTGATCTGAAAATTAACTCTCAACTTTGAAATTATTCTAAATTAGGTCCTGTTGCATCTCATTGTGTCCTGAATTAGGTCAGCTTTAACTGCTAAATCTTATATGGATGCTTTATCATACCTTGGTGATTTGCCCTCTGCTACCCACAGCAAATCTGTATTGCAAGCCACAACAGGAATATGAGGGTACTGCAACTGCTGAGGAATGCTGTCTGGGTTTCCAGCAGTCAAGAGGACGTCAATAATCAACTGAAGATGCGTTTCCCACTGGATAGGCTCACAAAACAGGATAATGGCTGAAGAAAATGTAGAAAGGAGGAAAAAAATACATTTAATTAAGGCATAATGGCCGTACAAAAACACTGAGTAACAATTAAGAAAGGGCTTTAAGAAAAGGACTCAGCTCTTTGAGATCACTGCTGTGAACAATGTATATCAGCAACTTAAAAATCATTATTCACCCCCGATTCAAACGCAGGCTATAATCACACACAAAACAAAGGCATCTGTCCAATATGTTGAAGTGAGTTACATATCAAAATATTAAGAAGACATAGATGTGCGATTTTGACTGCTGCCTGTGTTCATCTATTAGCCACTAGGGGGAGAAACAGCATCTCCACTCAAAATTTATGAAATGGAATACTGATCGACAGTTAAAGTTCAAGGATGTGAGATGTATACCTTCCCTCCCACATCAAATATCAAAATTTGAATCTGTGATGATTTACCTTAAAAGATACAAAATATAATTTAAAAACATATAGCTTTTAGTTATATTTTAACATGAACAGTAAGAAAGCTGAAAGTGCCACTAAAGAATTTCAGAACAGAAACTGAAGAGCCAAGTATAAAACAAAGAACAAACTTGCTAACTAGCCAACCAATTAATTATGAAGAGCTCATGGGAGCAAGAAAAGAATTATTTTTTATTTATTCATTGTATGTGGGTGTCACAGGCTGGGGCCAACAATTATTGCCCATCCCGAGATGCCATTGAGAAGGTGATGGTGAGCTGCCTTGAACGACTGCAGTCCATTTTAATTAATTGGATCCACAATGCCATTTGGGAGAGAGAGTTCCAGAATTTTGACCCAGTGACACTGAAGGAATGGCAAGATATTTCCAAGTCAGTGAGTGGCTTGGAAGGAGTTCTAAGGCTGAACTAAAACATTTACTGTATTATCAACATTCCCACTAATTTTTCTGTTAGAGCAGAATTACCAGTGATATTGTTGGCATTTACACTAAATTTATCAAACATGGTGTGTGTATCTTTGATCCCTCTCCTACAAGTTTCTGGCAGAAAATTCCAGACGACCAATAATTTCTGCTCAATAATCCAAGAAAAATCAAGTGATCTGTAAATTTAAAAACACCTTTGTCCATCAGCTTTAACACAAAATCATTTAAACATAGTGCTTTAATGCATGTGGTGGCAACTGAGTTGTCTGGGTATTGCTATATGGAATTCGCCCAATGATATAAAAAGTTGAATTCAATAAAGCTAAAAGCCAATTGTATTTCAGAACTGCCTCCTCGTAAACTACTTCTTCAATGTGGACACAATAGACTTGCTATTTTAAGGTTGCATTCTGCTCAAGTTTAGCATTGGTACAAAGCGATTCTAAATTTAGATTATCAACTAAAATGTCAAGGCCCAAATATTTGGACTTTACTTCTGTAACTCTGCTATCAGTGCAAAGTTAAACTTTTTTACACTAATGCTGCAGTCATTATGGAAATGAACTCTAAGACACTGCCATTTAACACGAGCAATTTATATGTACAACATCAGACACATTTGAGTTACCTTCAATATTAGGAAACTTCACAGGTGGAGATGGCTGGAAAATAAAACAAAAAATCTAGCGTCACAAGGTTAATCCCATGTTAGTTCAGGACAAAGATAACACAATCAACTTTTTCAGATAGCATTTTCAGTAGTCTATTACAATACAGAAAGTATTGCAGGTACAAAACAGACACAATCCACTCTTAATTTAATTAAACAACTTTGAATAATGTTAGTTACGCAACAAAACACCTTTATTAAAACTACTTAATTTCCTCAAAAGATTAACTGCGAAGAAATATTAATTATTTTGAGTTAGAAGCATGAAGTCCAGCTCAATGGAATACTGCTAAACACAGTGCTGTCTTAAGGTTGTGAGAAGGCTAATAAAAGTTTAGGTTGCAAATTGTACACTGGATCAGTACACCAAGGGGTTCTTACAATACTTTACATACAAAAATTAAAGAGCTCATTTTCAGTCTGCAACTGAACCACTGATCTCGCTGAGCACTATTTTTGAGAGTAAACTTAAACTTTTATGTTGGTTACAATTTAAAACCAATTTATAAAAGTACTAAATTCTTAGACCACTTTGTTCCATTATCATTAATGAGTTACACAATTACTGTGATCAAAATATAGGCACTGCATTCAAAAGGCTCCACGTTGTTCTGTGAAATAAAGCTTTTATAGCTAAGTGTTGCTTAGTACATTATAACGTTAAATACTTTATGATAAAGAGACACTAAAAGGGGTGTCACTATAATTTAAACGTTTCTGGAATTCACTCAACTTCATATCCATTTTGTAACTTCAAGCAGATAGATGCATTGGAAATTAAATGTATAAAACATTGCACAATATAAGGAATTACTACCAGACAATAATACAACAAAGATGCCTAAAACTTGTACAGTGAGACCTTTACCAGTCACCAGGTGTTTAATTGCCTCAAAGCCATGACACAACAGGAAAAAGCACCAATACATTTCTGGCAACACTATTGTGATTCATTGCCAATATTGGCAAGTCTGAACAAATTTGGCTAGCACAAAAAGAAATGTGCACTAAACTGCTTCAATAAAACTGCAAAAGAAATTCAATGAAACTTGAAAGAAAAACAAAGAAAGCCAAGACATTTAAGTAAAGCTGATACTCACCGATAATGCAGGTTTCCTATTGTGATCCATCATGTCCAGCAAGGGGAATGCATCCCGCAACATTTCTATGGTAATGATCTTGGTAAACCCAATGCTGACATGAAGTTAAGAATCAGTAGTTTCATAAAAGGCAATTATAAATAGCCCAGAGAATTCTTAAATAGAAAAATGTTAGAACTTTTAATATGATGCAACTGAGAGGAATAAAGAATCCAAAACACGTTTTACTTAAGCAAAAACAAACACAAGACAACATATCAACAATTCCTGTCAGTATTTGTTGATTTTATTAACATGGACAGGGAAAAAAAGTTTTAAGAATAGGTCATCAAAAACCAGTCAGCCTATTTCACACAGCTATAGCTAGATCTTAAACATTAATTAGGAGGAGGTACTGAAAAAAGATGCAGAGGATCTTGGTAGCAGGTAAATTCCACTGGAACAGATAATGAAAAGAGTATGAAGGCATGAAAGGGGATAACGTGGGGCGAGGGTTGCTCAACTTGAGCCAGCAAGTACTTCACAGATGGCTGAGATGGAAGAAGTTATGCTGATATAGGTCTGAAAAGAAAACAAAGCAATAAAAATTGCAAAATCATCATGTAACTGTGTTAATCCATTAAAACTGAACAACCAATAAAAAAAATTGCAAAATCAGAAAACTTACACTATCTCTCTCTCCAACCTCCTCCAGTCTGAAATCTCCATCTTCCTCCAATGTTTAATCCTCAGATGCACCGCTCCACCATTGATGGCAGTGTCTTCTGCTGCCTGGACTTTAAATCTTCTTCCTTCAAATTCTCCACACCTCTCTACCTTGCTCTCTTCTAATATGTTTCTTAAAACTTAGCCCTTTGCTAGACTTTTGGTCACTTGCCTTAACAATTCCTTAAGCAACTTTGTCAACAGTTTAGGATGTTTTATTATGTTAAAGTCACAATATAAATGCTTAGGGGGAGGGGTATGGTTAGTGATGGGATGACCAGAGAATTCACATGACAATATAATCTGCTACATTCTTTTATGAAACTACGTGGACTGATTTTTTATTTTCTTGTTACACTCCCTCCCAGCTTCCAGTAACGGTACTAGAAGCTATGCAAGAACGGTCTGTGGTGATCAGCTTGCTGAACATCCAGCTTGGAAACTGAAGTGTCTGTAAAATCTTGAACTCTTTTTATAGAAACTGTACACATAATATACATTCTGCAATAGCTGCATAACTGTTGAAATGCATCCAAGTAAAATTATGCCCTTTAAACTCATTAAGGAGAATTAATTGAACTGAGTGCGATTGTCACATGAAGTTAGGCGAGAAATATGATGTTTTAGACAGATGTGATAGAAAATGTGGGCTCACCAAGGTCAATGACAGAGAATGTTAATCATTTAAATTTTTTGATGTTGATAATGATTGAAGTTTGTAACTAGACTTTGATATATAATTCTTGAAAGACTGTACCTAGGTCTCGTATTCGTAACACAGATGTTAAAATACTGTCTGAGAGGTAAAAAGGAGATAACAAAATCAAGAAAAACAGTTATCCAAATCAAAGAAATCACATTTATTTTGGAATATAAATGTTTAAACTGAAGCATATAGAAACAATTGAGTTATTGTGCTCAAAGCATCCGTGTTAGCACTTTGACTGGAGTGAGTTATTCAAATCCTATATCCTGTCCTTGCTTGATAGTCTTTAATATCTTTATTTTCTCAAGAAAGATCCAACTCCATTTTAAGATTACTTTATAGTTTCTGTCTCATTAATACTTAAAGTGACCAAAAATCTAATAACATTCCAAATAAAATATTCTAACTTGCTCCTTCATTCCTCTAGTAATAACCTGAAGTTTATTACTTTTTTATTCATTTATGGGATGGTGGCATCACTGGCTAGGCTGTGTTTATTGCCAATCCTAGGGGGAAGTTAAGAGTTGCTGTAGGTCTGGAGCCAGACCAGCTAAAGATGGCAGTTTCCTTTCCCTAAAGGACATTAGTGAACCAGATGGGTTTTTCTTGAAAATCTACAATAGTAATCATTAGTCACACAGACAATGGTCAGTCACATGGTCATCATTAAACTCTTAGTTCCAGAATTTTATTAATTCAAATTCCACTGTCTGCCATGGCGGGATTCAAACCCAGGTCCACTGGATTAACAGTCCAGCGAAAATATCACTAGGCCATCGCCTCCCCCATCCACTTGTAACTGATTTATGATCAGTAAAATTAACATTTTACACATTATTCCATCCAAAACCACAGTGTATTAATGCAATCTAACAAAAATGTGTATGAAACAATAGGTAGCTAAGTTGTTAATAAGTTGTCTTTAATGTTGTTTCCTTGGACTGTAAATAGCAGTTTGCCAGCATGCCATGTGAATTCATAAACATCTCATGCCCAATGCATTGGTGAATTACTGGTCCTGGCATTTGGTATAAAGTATAACACACTTTCCTTTCTTGGCCATTTTGGTATATGGTACAAGACTGAAATAAATGCAGGGTTTGAAGCAGTGTGAAAAAGAAAGCTGTGAAGCAGTCAGTGAAAGGTGGGATACTTGGGTGGAAAGGAAGAAAGACTTTTCCACCTGCCCTCACATATTTAAAGACTGATGGACCTGGACCGTAACTCTACTTATCTATATCTTACCATTAAAAGGGATAGTTCCATTCAATTGTTCATTGATCTCTATACTGAACAGCATGTGATAAGAAGCTATATCAAAGATTACTATATGAAATAAGAGCTCATGGTATAGGGGTAACATAAAAAAATTGATACAGAATTTGTTCACTAATAGAAAGCAGAGGGTGAGCAGAAATGGGTGTTTTCAGGTTGGTAATATTGGGAAGTAGCAGGTCATAGTAATTAGTGTTGACACGTTAATTATCTACGATTTATTCAAATGACATGGCTAAAAAGGACCAAATCTATAGTTTCTTAAGAAGGGTCCTGACCCGTGTTCCTCCAGCTCCACACTGTTATCTCAGACTCCAGCATCTGCAGTTCTTACTATCTCTATGGTTGTTAAGTTTGTTGATGGTATAAAAATAAATAGAAATTTATGTTGTAAAGAGGACATAAAGAGTCTGCAAATAGAATAAACAGGTTAGGTGAAGGAGCAAAAATTTGGCAAATGGAGAAGAATATGGGAAAATGAGAACTTCTCCATGCTGACAGGAGGAATAGAACAGCAGTATATTATTTAAATAGAGAGAGGAGAGTTACTGAGGCTGTCCTAGTACACTAATCACAAAAGGTTAGTCTGCAGGTACAGCAAAGGATTCGGAAGGAAAATGGGACATTGTCATATATTGGTAGGGAAGTTTTGGTACAGTTGTATAGCTGAAATAGACTACATTTGGAGTGATGTGTACAGTTTTGGTATTATGTAAAAGGAAGGATGTAATTGTATTACAGGCAGTTCAGAGATGTTCACTCAACTGATACTTGAGTTGGGTGGGGCTTATAAGCACATAAGAAGTAGGAGCAGAATTAAGCCATTCAGTCTCTCTAAGATCATGACTGATTTGGTCAAGGCCTCAACTCCCTTTATGCCCTCAATTCCTCGACATTTCTAAGTCTTATCCACCTCCTCTTTAAATACATTCAGTGATCTATCCTCCACAGATCTCTGGGGTAGAGAATTCTAGACATTCACTACTCTCTGGGACTGGAAATTCCTTTGCATCTTGGTTTTAAATGACGGTCTCCTTATTCTGTAACAATATCCCCTAGTTTGAGATCCCACCAATAGGGGAAACATTCACCCTGCTGACACCCTCAGAATCTTACATGTTGCAATGAGTTCACCCCTCATTCTTCTAAACAATAATGAATAAAGGCCTAACTGTTGAGCCATTTCAATAAGTCAACCCTTCCATCCTAGGAAGCGGCCTAGTGAATCTCTTTTAAACTGCTTCCAATGCCAGCACATCCTTCGTTAAATATGGGGATCAAAACTACACACAGTTCAGTGCAGCTTCAACAACGCCCTGTACAGTCCGTCTTATGATTCTTCCTACCAAAGTGCATGACCTCATACTTTCCTACATTAAATTTCATCTGCCAAGTTTTTGCCCACTTACCGAACCTATCTATATACCCTTGCAGATCCCTTATGTCCTCATCACAGGCCTTTCCACCCATTTTTGTATCATCAGCAAATTTGGATACATTACATTCTGTCCCTCTTTCAAGACAGTAGTCAAGGAAAAACTACCACTTGGATTCTACCCTGTCAAGCTCACTAAGAATCTTGTATGTTTCAACAGCATCTCCTCTCGTTCTTCTAAATTCTAATGATTACAGTCCAACCTACTCAATATCTCCTCATAAGAAGATCCCTCTACATGCAGAATCAACCTAGAAAACCTCCTCTGTACTGCCACCAATGCCAGTACATCTTACCTAAAATAAGGCAACCAAAACAGTCTACAGCATTTCAAGTGTGGTCTGACTTGTGTCTTGTATAGTTTTACCAACTTTATAATTCTTATAAACGCCTTGTGTCATCCTCACTACTTGCCTTCCCACATATTTTTGTGTCATTTGCAAATTTGGTGTTAATACATTCACTTCCATCATCCAAGTCATTAATATGCATTGTAAATAATTGTGGCCCCAGTACTGAAACCTATGGGACTCCACTTATTACTGGGTGACATTTTGAAAATGGCCCCTTTACTCCAACGCTGTCTTCTATTAGCTTACAAATTCTTTATCCATGCTATAATACTAACCCCCACAGCATACCTCTAGATTATTGAGTAGCCTTATATGTGGTGCCTTATCAGATACCTTTTGGAAATTAAATTTATTACATCAACTGGTTCACTTCATCTATCCTACTTGTTAGCTCCTTTAGCCACATGAGTTGGAGGTTTGTTTTTTGGACTGGAGATCTATGACCTGTTCTGCAGCGATCAGTGCTGGATCCATTTTAGTTTTTAATTTATATAAATAATTTGGATGAGAATTTAGCAAGCATGGTTGGTAAGTTTAAGGATGACACCAAAATTGGTGGTATAGTCGACAGTAAAGAAGGTTATCTAAGATTACAAAGGAATCTTGATCAGTTGGGCCAATGGGCTGAGGAGTGGCAGATGGAGGGTAATTTGGATAAATGCAAGGTATTGCATTTTGGTAAAACTAACAAGGAAAGGACTTATACAGTTAATGGTAGGCACCTGGGCAGTGTTGTTAAACAGAGAGACCTAGGGGTTCAGGTACATAATTCTTTGAAAGCTGCACCACAGGCAGATAGGGTGGTCAAGAAGGCATTTAGCATGCTTGCCGTCATTGTTCTGACTGATGAGTACAGGAGTTGGGACGTCATGTTGAGGCTGTACAAGTCATTAGTGAGGCCAATTCTGGTCGCCCTGTCAAAGTAAATTGGAGTGGGATTAGAAAAGATTTACCAGGTTATTGCCAGGATTGGATAGTTTGAGTTACAAGGATAGATTGGGACATTTTTCATTGAAGTGTAGGAGGTTGAGGTGTGACCTTACAAAGGTTTATAAAATCATGAGGGGCACAGATAAACTGAATAGCAAAGGTATTTTCCCCAGGGAAGATGAATTCAAAAGTAGGGGAGTTCAAAACTAGACAGCATATTTTTAAGGTGAGGGGAAAGATTTAAAAGGAACATGAGGGGCAAGTTTTTTACACAGAGAGTGGTTCATATGTCTGTTATATGTCATATGTCTATCCTAGATCTGGTCCTGTGTAATGAGACAGGAATAATTAATGACCTCATAGTTAGGGATCCTCTTGGAAGGAGTGATCACAGTATGGTTGAATTTAGAATACAGATGGAGAGTGTGAAGATAAAATCCAATACCAGGGTCCTGTGCTTGAACAAGGGGAACTACAATAGAATGAGGGAGGACTTGGCTAAAGTAGACTGGAAACAAAGATTTTATGGTGGGACAGTTGACGAGCAGTAGAGGACTTTCAAAGCAATTTTTCAAAGTGCTCAGCAAAAGTATGTTCCAGTGAAAAGCAAGGACTGTAAGAAAAGGGGTAATATGCCATGGGTGTCTAAAGAAATAAGGGAGGCTATCAAATTGAAAGAGAAGGCATACAAAGTGGCCAAAAACAGCATGAAACTAGAAGATTGGGAAAACTTTAAAGGTCAACAGAAAGCTACAAAAAGAGCTATAAAGAAAAGTAAGACAGAACATGAGAAAAAAACTAGCACAGAATATAAAGACAGATAGCAAAAGTTTCTATAAATATATAAAACGAAAAAAAGAGTGGCTAAAGTAAACGTTGGCCCTTTAGAGGATGAGAAGGGGAATTTAGTTATGGAATATGATGAAATGGCCGAGGCATTGAACAGGTATTTTGTACCGGACTTCACTGTGGAGGACGCTAATAACATGCCAGTAATTGACAAAGAGACGAAGGTAGGTGAGGACCTGGAAACAATCATTATTACGGAAGAGGTAGAGTTGGGCAAGCTAATGAAGCTAAGGATTGATAAGTCTCCTGGCCCTGATGGAATGCATCCCGGGGTACTAAAAGAGATGGTGGGAGAAATAGCAGGTGCACTGGCGGTAATTTTCCAAAATTCGCTGGACTCTGGGGCAGTCCCAGCAGACTGGAAAACAGCAAATGTGACGCCACTGTTTAAGAAGGGAAGTAGACAAAAGATGGGGAATTATAGACCGGTTAGCTTAACCTCTGTAGTGGGGAAGATGCTTGAGTCTATTATCAAGGAAGAAATAGCAAGACATCTTGATAGAAATTGTCCCGTTGGGCAGACGCAGCATGGGTTCATGAAGGGCAGGTCATGCTTGACAAATCTTTTGGAATTCTATGAAGACATTACGAGCAAGGTGGACAATGGGGACTCAGTGGATGTGGTGTACCTAGATTTCCAAAAGGCCTTCGACAAGGTGCCGCACAAGAGGCTACTGCATAAGATAAGGATGCATGGCATTAAGGGTAAAGTATTAGCATGGATAGAGGATTGGTTGACTAACAGGAAGCAAAGAGTGGGGATAAATGAGTGCTATTCTAGCTGGCAGTCAGTGACTAGTGGTGTGCCTCAGGGATCGGTGTTGGGACCGCAATTATTTACAATTTATATAGATGATTTGGAGTTGGGGACCACGTGTAGGGTGTCAAAGTTTGCAGATGACACTAAGATGAGTGGCAGAGCAAAGTGTGCAGAGGACTGTGAAACTTTGCAGAGGAACATAGATACATTGAGTGAGTGGGCAAGGGTCTGGCAGATGGAATACAATGTAAATAAATGTGAAGTCATACATTTTGGTAGGAGTAATAGTAAAAAGGATTATTACTTGAATGGTAAAAAGTTGCAGCATGCTGCAATGCAGAGGGACCTGGGTGTCCTTGTGCATGAATCACAGAAGGTAGGTCTGCAGGTACAACAAGTAATTAGGAAGGCAAATGGAATTTTGTCCTTCATTGCTAAAGGGATTGAGATTAAAAGCAGAGAGGTTATGTTGCAGCTGTACAAGGTGCTGGTGAGGCCACACCTGGAGTACTGTGTGCAGTTTTGGTCTCCTTACTTGAGAAAGGATGTACTGGCACTGGAGGAGGTTGATTCCGGAGTTGAGGGGGTTGGTTTATGAGAAGAGACTGAGTAGATTGGGATTATATTCATTGGAATTCAGAAGATTGAGGGGGGATCTTATAGAAACATATAAAATTATGAAGGGAATAGATAAGATAGAAGTAGAGAGGATGTTTCCACTGGCAGGTGAAGCTAGGACAAGAGGGCATAGTCTCAAGATTAGAGGGAGCAAATTTAGGACTGAATTGAGAAGGAACTTCTTCACCCAGAGGGTTGTTAATCTATGGAATTCCTTGCCCAGTGAAGTAGTTGACGCTACTTCAGTAAACATTTCTAAAAAAAAGGTAGATTTTTTTTGAACAATAAAGGAATTAAAGGATACGATGAGAACGCGGGTAAGTGGATCTGAGTCCACGAAAAGATCAGCCATGATCTTATTGAATGGCGGAGCAGGCTCGAAGAGCCGGACTGCCTACTCCTGCTCCTAGTTCTTATGTTCTTATGTGAAATGAACTGCCAGAGGAAGTGGTAGATGTAGGTACAGTTACAACATTTAAAAAACATTTGGTCAGGTACATGAATAGGAAAGGTTTAGAGGGATATGGGCCATATGCAGACAAATGGGACTAGTTTAGTTTTGGAAACTTGGTCAACATGGACAAGTTGGACCAAAGAATCTGTTTCCGCACTCTATGACTCAATGAGTTTGCTCAGTACTTTTCACCCATTGTGATAATTATTATGTAATTTTCTCTCCTCACCTTTAGCCTCTTCATTATTTAGTATTTTTCAGAATGCTATGAACCCCCTCTACTATAAAGACTGATACAGTATTTGTCCAACTCCTCAACCATTTCCTGGTTCCACATCATTATTTCCTCAACCTCTTTCACCAAGGGCACTTTGTCCTCTCTTCCTTTTTACATACTTAAATAAGTTTACTGGCTGTTTTTATATTACTTGCGAGTTTGTCCCAGTGTTTATTTTCTCCCTCTATTATTGTTTCTGTCATTTTTGTTGGCTTTCAAACTTTCCAATCTTCTGGTTTACACTAATCCTTGCCACATTTTACGTTTTTTCTTTTAATTTGATACTATCCTTAATGTCCTTGGTTAATTGTTGTCGGTTTATCGCCTTCAAGAATCCTTATTCCTCATCACCTGCCCAGCCATCTTTTTTCTATTTAATCTATTTGAATGTTAAATATTTTAAAAGTGAATTTCCTTACTGTACTCTTGAGCTGTAAGTCTCTCCTGATTTAAACCAGTTGGCCAAAAGAGACAAGGAAGAAATACTCACCAGTCAGCTATGTATTTTCCTGACATGTCACACCTCAGCTCTGACATCGAGAAACAGATTGATGGGTCTCTCTCTGCCGCTGATTTTTATCTCCCGAACCACTGCTCTTCTAACACAGGTCGGCTCTTCCAGTGAGATTCACATTCCTCACAGCTCAAGTACGAGGTGAAGTTAGACAGGTTAGGCCTTTTTCCATTGAAACTTAGAAGAACGAGAACTGATCTTATTGAAAAATATAAGATCCTGACAGAAATGACAGGCTAGTAGTCATGGTTTAAGACTGAGATGAGAAGGGATTTTTTTCCAGAAAGGGTTGAGAATCTTTGAAACACTCTTCCCCAGAGAGTGATAAAGGCAGTGTCATTGAAGATTTTCGATGCAGGGGTGGACTGACTCGTTTATCAGTGAAGAATTTATAGGCATCGTGGGTAAGTGGAAATGTGGAGTTGAGAGCACAATCAGATCAACCATGATTTTGTTGCCTACTCCTGCTCCTAATTCATATGTTTATATGTAGCTATAAAAATATGCCCATTCTGTTGCTCTAGGCTTTTCTGGATTTTAACTGAATTGCACATGCTCCTAATGTGCTATCAGCAAATTTCAACATTACTGCTCTTCTATCTATGTAAAATTATGGATTTTTTAAAAAGCAAGCATCTTAAAAACACATTCTCTGAATCCAAACAGACATCCACTTACTGCATTGTCTGTCTATTAATGCAACTACACTCCCTTTAATAAATTCTGCAACATTGGGCAACATCTTTTACGTCGTAGCCGAGATAATGACATGTCAGACCCATTGTATTTTTCAACAATGCAGTGCTTTTTGCAAGAGAAAAACATGAATTAAATCAGTCCAGTAGGATCTCACATTATAAATGCGGTTGACCTCTCACGGTTAGCCCATAGCTTTCTAAATGTTCATTAAACTTATTGACTGAACATTTGATAAAACATTAAATCTCTAAAAATATAGAGTGCACACAGACACAAATAAAAGAAATTGTTTTTTAGCATTATTTCAATGTAAAACCCTAAAAAGGATACCTTTTAGCAATCTCCATGATTGGGCCTTGCCCAGAGACCAGTACACATTTATCATGGTAACGTTTAAACATTCGCAGTGGGCTGTGAGACATCAAAACTTGATCCTGAGAAATCTGTTTAAAAAATTAAAACAAAGTACATTAGCACAAGTGACTTATTCATAGCTAGCAGTAAATTTTGAAATGAAACATATTTATATTGTAGAAAAATTTTGTGATGATCTTTCACATGAACAAATGAATTATAAAATTCATTCCTGGCTTCAAGTATTCATTCAACACCAAGATCCTCTCAGATTTATTCTGAATGATATACAATTGTTGTCTATTGCTATTGGACTATTTACTTTACTGTTCTAACAATGCATCTTAATCTCAACCTTAGAAAAACACTTTCTATTGTACCAGGGAGATATTTTTCACTCTCAGCACTGCATCTCCTTGTGACCTAATCAATTTGAAGGCATTTCACAAGGAATTCTGCTTTGAGCCTGCCTCTATAGAGAAACTATCCAAAGTATTTTCTCAAGGACAACTCCTTTGCAACTGCCTAAGGAAACTGCATTTAGCTTATTAGTTTAGCCTTAACTCAAATATAATTCCAGATTTACTCTGCATAAATTGAGGGCTTTGTTGAGGCCAAACCTAGAATATTGTGTGCAGTTTTGGTCTCCTTTTCTGAGGAAGGATACTCTTCTTCCTGAGGGAGTGCAGCGAAGGTTTATCAGGCTGATTCCAGGGATGGCAGACCTGATGTATGAGGAGATTGACTAGGTTAGGATTGTTTTCACTGGAGTTTAGATGAATATGGGGAGATCTCATAGAGACGTATAAAATTCTAGCAGGACTAGACAAGGTAGACGCAGGGAGGATGTTCCCGATATTGGGTGCATCCAGAACCAAGGGTCACAATCTGGGAAATCGGGCTAGACGATTTAGGATGGAGGTGAGGAGACATTTCTTCACCCAAAGAATGGTGAGCCTGTGGAATTCATTACCACAGGAAGTAGTTGATGTCAAAACATTGAATGTATTCAAGAGGCGGCTAGATATAGCACTTGGAGTAAATGGGATCAAAGATTATGGGGAGAAAGCAGAATTAAGCTATTGAGTAGGATGATCAGCCATGATTGTGGAGAATGGTGGATCAGGCTCGAAGGGCTAAATGGCCTCCTCCTGTTCTTATCTTCTTTGTTTCTATGCTTCTATCCATTGATGTTTATCTTGGGTTCCAAATAGATTAGAAAGGTGACCAGACCACGCTCTAAACGGTTAACATTGTAATTTTCTGTAAAGTAAATGTCTAACACACACGTGTCATTCACAATTTCAACACAATCCGTGAACAGTTCTGCTCCAAAAACATTTTACTCAGGACAGGAATACAGGATTTTGTGCTTAACAAACATGTTATTCTTTTCAAAGTTTGACTTCATACACTCATTAGTCACAGATTCATACAGTTCTATAGCACAGGAAAAGGCCCTTCAGCCCATCAAGTTTGCACCAATTGAAAAGAAACACTTAACTATTTTAATTCCATTTTCTGCCACTAGGCCCATAGCTTTGTACGTCTTGGCATCGTAAATGCACATAACATTTAAATATTATTTTGATGGGAGTTCCTGCCTCTACCACCTTTGGCAGTGAGGCCCACATTCCCACCAACTTCCGGGTGAAACCAATTCTCCAAACGGAACTTACTTAACCCAAATATCAACATCATTCTGACTGAAATCATAATTGGAACAGGAAGAATATTTTACCATCATTTTCACTCCCAATGCTGCCTATTGCTGCACTTCCCATTTTGCAGCAAATGCTAATCCTGTTTATAAAGTTCCAATCCCACTACTTCCCCTATTTTAATGTACTAATTCTGATCCCAGTATGATGTGCTCTCTCAAAAATGTTACTGAAGAGAAACATAGTATTTCTCACAATGAAGGGAGCCACATTACTGTCTTGAAGAACAACACTGCAGATGAGCAACATGCAACTAACAAGCTGCCACTTTTCTTTTTTAATTGATTTGTGAGATGTGGGTGTTGCTGATAGATCAGCATCTGTTGTACATCTCTAATTTCTCAGAGGACATTAAGAGCTGAACCACATTATCATGAGTCTGGAGTCACATATAGGCCAGACTGGGTAAGGATGGCAGATATTCTTCCTAAAAGGACATTAGAGAACCAGATGGGTATTTACATGAGTACATGGTCACAATGAGGCTATCTTTATTCCAGATTTTTATTTAATTAGAATTTCATATTATTTCATGGTGGCATTTGAACGCACATCACCAATAGCCCAACATTCTGGATTACTGTGTAACCATGCATTATGCCATTATTCATGAATCACATACTCTGCAATGTAGCTACTCTTAATTAAATACTTTAAGAATAAAATTCAAATCAGCTGCATTCTTTAGTACTTATCTTTGACAAGTCTAAATAATACCCTGAAATTGAACTTCAAGTTATTCTTATGCCTTTTGTTCCACTGCAGTTCTTCATAGATTTCACCACTATTTATCCAATAGGCAGACTCAATAGAGTATGACGTGCATCATGCTTACACTGATTAGGCAATTATTGTATGCTCTAGTTACAACATAAATGTAAACATAAACTTCCAAATAGATAGTCTTCTTCCCTCTGCTCTGAAGAATGTTAAGTTCTTAATTACTGAACTCCACAATCTACTTTTCGTAGTCTCTTTCAAACTTCAGAATACCTGAACATCGAGAAATAACAGTAGAAATGCAGCAGAGTCAAACATAGGTGAAAGAGGGAGAAACAAAAATGAGAGAGAGAGTGAGTGGACAGAAGAGTAAAAGCAAAAACGAAAAGCTACTCATTCGGATGACAGAAGCAGTAGCATCATGCTAACAAACATAAAGGAAAAATAATTTCATCTATGATTGTTCTCCACACAGATCTGTGATTAGAGGTGAACAGGGAGATATGGAAATGATGGGAAATATTCCTGTGCAAAGATTATAAAACTTTGTAGTTTCACACTGAAGAATGAACTTTAGCCAGTCTAAATTTATTCCGTTCATACACAGTTGCCAGCACAAGAATTTGATACAAATTGGAAGACTATCCTCAGGACCTGGTCTAATGTTCTATCAGGTTATTTTTCTAATGACTTACATGCTATGAAATTCACCTCCTCCTCACTTAAGTCTCCATCTTATCAGCTCTTATAACCGATTAGGAAATAGCTCTGACTGTGAAAATCAGAAGAATTATCAACATTGCCTTCTCAAATCAACAACATTACCTCAATCAGCCTTTAGAATTTGTTTGATACAATCATCTTGACAGACTATGTCCATGTGGTGTGCCCTCATTTTTACAATTTATATTTGGAAGGAAATCCTAGATGTAGTACTGAGCTCTGCTGTGAAAGTGGAGGGCAAAGTTAAATAAATAATCAGCTTCCCTAATGCATCTCAATGAAACCAGCAGCCAGAAATGACCAGATTCAAATGCACATCTTAGAGTCATAGAATCATACAGCATGGAAACAGACCCTTCGGTCCAACCAGTCCATGCTGACTATAATCCCAAACTAAACTAGTCCCACCTGCCTGCACTTGGCCCATATCCCTCCAAACATTTCTTATTCATCTACTTATCTAAGTGACTTTTAAACATTGTAACTGTACCCGCATCCATGACTTCCTCTGCAAGTTCATTCCACATACGAACCGCTGTCAATGTAAAAAAATTGCCCCTCATATCTTTAGATCTTTCTCATCTCATCTCATCTTAAAAAAAATATGTCCCATAGCCTTGAAAACCCCACCCTAGGGAAAAGACACCTGCTATTCACCTTATCTATACCCCTCATTATTTTATAAGTTTTATAAACGTCTATAAGTTCACCCCTCATCTTTTAATGATTGCACTGTTGCTTTATGAAATACACTACCTTAGAAGGCTGTGGAGGCCAGGTCATTGAGTATGTTTAAGAGAGAAATCGATAGTTTCTTGATTGTCAAGGGGATCAAGAGTTACAGGAAGAAAGCAGGAGAATGGGGTTGAGAAACTTATCAGCCATGATTAAATGGCAGAGCAGACTTGATGGGCTGAATGGTCAAATTTCTGCTCCTAAGTCATAGGGTCTTCTGGTCTTATACAGTCAATGGGCATTAGCTTTAACCAGATGTTAACTTTAAAACTGCAGAGAAAGTCAAAACTAAATAATAAAATTGTCTATAAATTTGCTGGCAAATTTTGCTACACAGTTGTAGAATATCATGCTCTAGTCTCATCTTGTTCACTGGATACTCAACTGTATGACATTACATCGTATGTCAGGTGAATTTTGCCCTATACCTCTTCTTATTTTCATAGATAAATTCATTGATTCATACAGTGCAGAAAAGCCTCCTCAGCCCATCTAGCCTGCACCAACATAAGTACCACTAAAAGTGCACAAATTCCAATTTCCTGCACTTGTCCCATATCCTTGAGTATTATATTTGAAGTACTCATTCAAGTACTTTTTAAAGGTTGGAAGGTTTCCAGCCTCCTCTACCTTCCCAGGCAGTGCATTTCAGATTCTCACCACCTCCTGAGTGAATAAACTTTTTTTCCAAAATCCTCTCTGAATCTCCTGCCCCTTAACCTAAAACTATGGCCTCTCATGACTGATCCCTCAACCAAGTGAAACAGCTGCTCTCTATTCATCCTGATACAACTCAATCATGTCCTCCCTCAGACTTCTCTGCTCTAAAGAAAACAATGCAAGTCTATCTAGTCTCTCTTTATAGCTCAATTGCTCCAACCCTGGCAATATCCTGGTGAACTTCCTCTGTACCCCCTCTACTACGATCACATCTTTCCTGTAGTAAGGTGACCAGAACAGTACACAGTACTCTAGTTGTGGCCTGACCAACACTCCGTACAAATCCAACATTACCTCCTTGCTCTTATACTCTATGCTACAACTGATGAAAGCAAGTGACCCATATGCCTTCTTAACTACCTTATTCAAGTACTATGCCAATTTCAGGGATCTGTGAATAATTACTCCAAGATCCCTTTGTTCCTCTAAGCTACACAGTGTCCTGCCATGCATTAAACACTCCCTCATCTTGTTTCTTCTACCAAAGTGCATCATCTCACACTTATCAGAGTTAAATACCCATCTGCCAGTGTCTGCGCATCTGACCAACCCATCTATATCTTTCTGTAACCTACAACCATCTTCTTCACTATTAACCATTCTACCAATCTTGGTGTCATTTGCAAATTTCCTTAACATTTCCCTCATATTTTCATCTGTATCATTTATGTATATAACAAACAATAAGACTCCCAGCAGTGATCCTTGTGGTACATCGCTGGACACTGGCCTCCAGTCACTCAAACAGCCTTCTACCTCTACTCTTTCTGTCCTATTACTAAGTCAGTTTCTGATCCATCTCACCAAATTTCCCTTAATTCCATTTGTTTTAACCTTCTCAATCGGTCTCCCACATGGGACCTTCTCAAAAGCATTGCTAAAATCCATATAAACTACAGCAACCAAATTTCCCTCATCCACATACTTGATCATATTTTCAAAAATATAAAAAAATTGTTTGACATGACATCCCTCTGACAAAGCCAAGTTGACTATCCCTAATTAACCATGCCTTTCCAAGTGGATATCAATTCGCTCCTTCAGAACTTTTTCCAATAATTTCCCTATCACTGACGTGAGACTCACCAGTCTGTATTTTCAGGTTCTTCTCTATGACCCCTCTTAAAAAGTGGAACCACATTAGCCGTCCTCCAGTGTTCTGGTACTTCCCCTGTGGCCAGAGGGGAATTAACAATTTGTGTCAGAGCCCCTGAGATTTCCTGCCCTGCCTCCCACAGCAGCCTGGGATGCAATATACCTGGACCAGGGGATTTGTCTGTTTGTAAGCCCAACACAGCCTCCAATACCTCCCCATTTCCTATGTCAAACTTTGCAAGTTCCTCACAGACCCTTTTCCTGAATTCCGTACCTATGTTCTCCTTTCCAGAGTAAAGACCAAAGAGAACTATTCGTTCAACACCCTTCCAATGTCTTGCAGCTTCACACACAGATTGCCCCTTTGATCCCATATGGGCCCTAGTTTTTCCTTGGTTAACCTCTTCCCTTTAATGTCTTTATAAAATATCTTGGGATTCTCCCTAATCCTGTTCATAAGTCCTTTCTCATGCTCCGTTTTTGTTCTTCTAATTGCTTTCTTAAGTTCCCTCCTGCGCTTCCCGTATTCCTTTGGGGCTGCAACTGAATTATTCCCTTCGGACTTGCTAAAAGCCCTACTCTTCTTCTTTATCCAGTCCTGAATTGTCCTAGACATCCAGGGTTCTCTGAGTTTATTGTTCCTACATTTCCCTCTAAAGGGTTCTTCTGTGGTTGAGTTGTCTGCACCAAAGTTCCTCCATACCTTCATCCATTCAGATGAAGTAACATTAGTGAAGAGACTTTGTGATGGAATCAACTTGCCAATTTACACGATTAACTAAAAAATAGCTTTCTCACAACTGTGAAGTGAAAACAACACTGACCAAAAGTAGGTGGGATTACATTTGTCCCTGAACTCTCTTCCCCAAAATGAAAAATAACACACACAACTTCTACACATGTCAAATTTCAATTTGCACAAATGATATTTGTATCCCATATCCATCCAAATCATGTACCAGACAACACCCTTAGTGCTATTTGCAGTCTTTGCCTCCAAGCCATTCGGCTTCTGGATATTATGGATAGAAGTGGAACAACCTTAATCCCTAGAATTATAGTAGCAGATATGAGTTAAACCTACAGTTATTGGAGATAAGCAGCTGAAATTGAGTATGGAAACAAAAACACTTACATTGGTGGACTGCAACCTTTTTGTTTATTTGCAATTTGGTCACTACTACGGAGGGCTGTAAATTTTAAATTAAATAGTTAATTCCACCAAATAAAACATCCTTATAAATACACCAATTTAAGACACTCACAGGAACTCCCAACACACGAGTTAGTTGGTCAGCTTTTGCTTGTCGAACACAGTTTCCTGAATTTGTGACGAACACCACAGGCACTAAAAATTCCCCTTTAACATTCACCAACTTCTTGAAAGCTTTCTTGGCAGCTGGTATGGGGGTTTTTCCTCGCACCAACACTCCATCAATGTCAACAAGGAGGCCAAAGTAGGGCTAAAAATCCAACAGAAAGAAGGGTTACTTAGTTTCCAGGTATGTTTAGCAACAGAATAGAACCAAATGCTCAAGTGAGAAACTAATAATTATTCAGCACTGATTCCATTCTCCAAATCAGATTTTACAATAATTTGCTCACATTAGTCACTGTAAGACAATGCACTCAGCTTTTGATCCTAGCAAATAACTATGTCTATATAAATGCTTAAAACTTACAAGTCCTTATATAGAGCCTTGGGAGATAGCATTTATTCATTAATAAGATATCACAAGCATAATGCATTTACCAGAAACCCTATTTCTATTGTTGCGCCTCTGCATATTATGAACTCTCAAATAATATTTTAAAAATTTGAAGATAAATAGCCTATTAAAAAAGGCCACTACAAATCACATGACCTTTAGCTTCTGCGTTCTTAGCAGTTCCAACTCTTGAATAAATACTCGATTATATATGGATATTCACAGCATCCTCAAAATTCACACATTCTTTGTTTAAGGATGAATTGTCAATGAAGAACTAAAGCATCCCAGCTGACTCATCATTTAGTTTCACTGCGGAATAAAGGTACATCGAAACTCATTGCATGTTGATGAATGTGAAATAGATATTACTGATCTGTCATCATATGAGGATGATCCCTTGTCTAAAACAAAGGATGAATTTCAAAACCTCAAAAAAAAATGTGTAATCAGCACACTATCTTCTTTTGAAAAAGAGTCTTTGAATTTGTACATGTCATATGGTGAAGAAACTGTCTTCTTGTCTACTTTAAAGATAACAGCAGAAGGTAATTGCAGAGTTCCATCAGAAAAGCCATTGAACCGGCTACCAACATAATAAACGGCAATAGAGATAATAAGATGTAGAGCTGGATGAACACAGCAGGCCAAGCAGCATCAGAGGAGCAGGAAGGCTGACGTTTCAGGCCTGGACCCTTCTTC